TTATATAGATGGGTAGTTAAACGTGATTAGGATCAAATCGGCATTACTTATTTATATAATTTGTTATGTTAATGTTTGCTGAACATTCACTTACGTTTATAACATTATTTGAAAAATTTCTGAATTTCATACATACGGACTACATATATATATATCTCTTTCATGCACCGATTTAAATATTTAATCTTGGTATTAAAATGTGGGAAGAGGAAAGATGGGTAATAAATAAAAAAATACATAATATATTCATTTATATTCTTATTTCATATAAATATAAACTATGACTCTCCTTTGATTCCAACCCTCACGACAGATGCCCAAACGTCAATAGACACCAGCACGACGCGGTTTCCAGGCCGCTAGGACTCACGGGTCCAAACAACAAACGCCAGCCCGGCGCACTGGACTTCGTAAAGCCAGGACACCTGACAAACCTTCTCTGCAAGGGCACGTTTCCTCCGGAAGGCGAGAGTACATGCCTACTCTCAGACTACTTTAAGCCTCCGTTGGGCAGCTTGCAGTATAGACGCAATAGAGATTTCCCGAAGGTCTCGTACGCCTAGAATGTGAGCTCAGGATAGATCGGAGGACCGTGATCTCCAGTTAATCCCTGCCCCGACTGGGCTATTGGTCTAATGTGCTCAGTCTAGGATAGTCCTAGACACAATGCCCAAATCAATTTAAACAGTGGCGATCGGGCCTCGAAGATTACTATTTTTTAAAGTCATAGTAATCCAATTCAACAGAGAGTCATAGTTATATTTATATTTTATATTTCTTCATTTATATTTCTTCATTTAATATGAGAAATATATATCATGAAAACATTTAAAATAAAAATTTAATACTTTTAAAGAATACTAATTGAATTCTTTCTTTTACGCGATTTTATGCCATTTCAATTGTTAACAATTTATTTCAAAAATTTAACGAATTTAATAAATTCTACATATTAATAAATTCTATATATTAATTCTATAGATGAATAAATTCTATATATTTCCAAAAAATACTTAATTAATTAAATCCTATTATTTTAAAAATATCTGTTACTTTATATGGTACATAAGTATTTAATTTCCTAAAACAAATAACTAAATTATTTAAGTTACTTTATTTATATTTTCTTGCAAGATTATTTGATAATTTTTAGCAATTAATACATCCTGCAAATGAAATATGAAAAACAATATAATGTAATAAAATACAAAGAACTCTATGTTTAAACAAGTGCATTACAATAAATCAATAAAGAGTGTTATACCAAGATTAAATATACAATCCTAAACTATTAAATCTATCCATTTTAGGGTGACAAATCTATGAAAATATACTCAACTGCAATACTTTAATAATAAATACATAAAAATAGTTTAATATAAATTTCACAGATTTGTTATCCTAGTATAAAAAATTTATGACTCACCGACCCGATGCGCAACAGCGGAGTTAATCTGCAACGTAGCTACGATGATTCTGTAACATACAAAGAAAATATTCAAATTATAGCAGCGCTCGAAACAATAGATACTTTAAAAATTTTTACGTATATCGAATCTACTTGTTTTTCAATTAGATATTTATTAAAATAATTAATAATTAATAAGTAATTTTCGAAAAGAACCTTTATAGAAATAAATTCATATTAAACTTTAAATTATTTTTCTTTCCCAAACTATAAATTTTAAATGATTAAAATTCAGTGATCCAAATAAATAAAAAAAGA